CCCTGGTCCTCTGGCCCTGCCCCTCCAGCCATGAGCTGCTCCTCAAGCCATGACCACCCCATGATTTACTTGAGGTTTTGGGAGGACAATTACATACAAACTATAACATTCTGCCCCTGGACCCCCAAAGTCTCATGTACATCCCTCTGTGCAAAAGGTGTTTTAGTCCCTCTCTAAGTGTTGCCAAAGTCCCAACAGTTTCAGCATTGCTGAAAAGTCCAAGTCCCAAGTCTCCTCCAAGATCCAAGGCAAACTCTCAATTGTGAGCCCCTGTACAAATGAAAAGTTAAATACATCCAACATTCAAAGGCATAAGATAACATTGCCCTTCCAAAAGGTATACACAGGATACCAACCTTTGGGGCCAAAACAAGTCCAAAATCCAGCAGGGTCATTAAGTCCTGTAGGTCCTTGTGGAACATCTGAAGCAATCTGTGGCAAATTGTGAACTAAATGTAGCTCTGCCCGTATGGCACTCTAGGTAGTAGTTCCCATAACTTCCCTCTTAGGTCAGCTTTGCTCCCTCTTTGCAGTTTCCCTTAGATGATCCATGTTCCTGGCTTTCCAAACTTCTGGGGTTTCCACTGAATAGGCCTCTCACTCACAGCTTTGCACACTACCCTCTCAGGGGCACACTGCCTGGCCTCCCAGCCCTTCTTCTAAAATCAAGGTGGAAGGCTTCTTAACCTCAGAACTCCTGCATTCTGCATGCCCCTAAAACCAATGCCACGTGGATCATGCCAAGGTCTGCTGCCAGCAGGAGCATACCCAGGCTTCCTTCTCTCTTGACTGTAGAGGTCAGAGTGTCAGGACTCTGACCCTGATTATGAAAAACAAATTCTCTATGCTGGCGCCATTCTGTAATGTGGTGTGGCTGCTGCCTCTATTCTGGAACATGGAGCTCTGCAGCTTTCTCCTCAAAGCAAAAGTCTCTCATCCTTGTGATTCTGAGGCTGCAAAGGGTGAGAACCTGCCACCTCCTGTGATGCCCTCAGGACATCTTTTCTACTCTCCTATTCCTCCTGGGTAATGGCTACCTCAGCTTTATCCTTGCCTTTCACAGCTTTGTTGAAGCTTCCTTTCTGGCCAAACTCACAACTTTTTAAATCATTCGGCTGGGCTCTTTGCTCTTCATTTTCAACATAAATCTGACTAAGAACCCCCAACAATAACCATGCCACTGCCCCAATATTTGACTCCTTTGAGATTTCCTTTGAAATATTAATCAGTCCTCCATGTTTAATTTCAGTCTCAGGCAAAGTTTCTGGATATGGGAAAAATTCAGACACACTTTCTGCCAAGCCAAAACACAAGTGATCTGGAGTCCAACAACCGATGCAGTCCTTCCCAGAAGAAACCTCCCCAGCCTGGTCTTTATAGGTTGGCTTTCTATCAGTCTTCTGGTCTGAGCTCTGGCCAGAATCTCCCCTATAGAACAGCTGAAGCTGTTCCAGTACTTTGCTCATAGGTGACATCTCCAAACCATTCCTAACTCTTTCCATAAGCCATTCCCAGAAGTGTGCAATCCACATGGTCAGGTTTAGCTACAGCAATGACTGCACTTCTCTGGTACCAAATTCTGTCTCAGTTATTCTTCTCTTGTTGCTGGGACAAATACCCAACACTCAAGGTTAGGGAAGGAAAGGTTTATTTAGCTCACAGTTACTGGAGGTTTCATAGTTTAAAGCAGCCTCAATTACATAGCAAGATCTTGAGATACTGCCGTTCTGTGCTACAGGGTCTGGGAGAGAGGCTGGGGCGCCATGTGCAGGATGATCTGCTTAGAGAGGCCACCAGGCCTGGGGTGGGGGTGGAAGGCGCATGCTGTCAGTTTAATGGTTTGTGCTTATCTGGTCCCACCCCTAAAGCCCTACCCTGGTCCTCTGGCCCCACCCCTTAAGCCATGAGCTGCTCCTCAAGCCTCAACCACCCCACGATTTATATGAGGCTTTGCGGGGACAACTATATATAAACTATAACAGAGGTTCTTTGTGATCTCTGGTCTCTGTGATTCCTTTCCAACTTGCACAGAAGCTGCTGAGAACCTTGGGTGAAAGCCTAAATTCAACCATTAAGGTTGTGATGTGCCCTTGGGGACAGAGAGGCAAGAGATGATCATGTAATGGCCATGATAGGAACGAGGTTGAGTGAAAGGCTTCTCCACTGTCCTGGAGAAGTGATAGTGATATGGCCCTGCTCTTTAGCAGGAAGGGTTTCCTGAAGCACCCAAATAAGTGGCAGCTTATTTTTTCAAAGAAGTTTTGACTCTGCTTGGAGCCCAATACAGCAGGGAATGCATATATTCACATGCCCATTCATATTTACACATGGCACTAACTGAAGATTAGAAAACACTCCACCAGGTACCAAGCGCTGTTAGGCTGTGGAGAGAGAACACAACTCAGATTCTAACTTTGGGAGGCTTTAGTATCAGATTCTAATGTGGTCCTCATGAACAACAGGAAGCCTTAAACAAGATGGCGTTGGATATTTTAAATACCTCTGCAGAGTGGATATTTAAGCTCTCTAGGAGAAAATATAGTAAAGCCTCACTTTGTTTTGATACTTGAGTTTGTGTTAGCAAAATTTTGCCCGCTATCATAGATATGGTTACACATTCCCTCCCTTTTGTCTTCAGTAATGGCAGTTGAACCCAGGGCTTTATACATGGCTAGGCAACTGTTTTACTGCTGAGCTACAACCGTAACCCTTTTTCTATTTTGAGACAGAGTACTGCTAAGTCACTAAGATACCCAGAATCCTGGGGTTACAAGTGTGTGCCACCATGCCTGGTTAATGATTACGAATTTCCTCAGGGGAGGTTTGTGGATGCGACTATTAATCATGATTGTCAACCTGACTGGATAGAGATACCTCGAAGATTAGTAAAGCAAACTTCAGAGTGTGTCTAGGTGGCTCACAGAGGCATGAATTTCGGGACTATGTGTACTTCCTAGGCCTTTCTTCTTTGCTGCTCTTTCCAATCCACTCTGCTTCCTGGCTGCCATGAAGTGAGCAGTTTTGCTCTACCATGGTTTCCTGATGCAACAGTTCTGCTTTTCAGCCAGCTGATGATGAATTGAGCCCTCTGAAACCATGAAGTAAATTAAATTTTTCCTCCTTTAAGTTGCTTACAAGTATACTGTATTTTATACCAGCAACAGGAAATCTAACCAATATATTCTACTTTGTACCAAGCACTGTAAGAGATGAGACAGAAGGCACTGTTTTTATACTCTTAAAACTCTGTTTTTTGCCTAAGAAGGATCTACCTACTCATCCGTTCATCTATGCATTCACCATATGTTTGCCAATCCTCCCAACTCAAGCTGTTATTAAACAGATTAATAAATGAATGGAGAGGATCCACCTGGGGCTCTCTCCATTTTCCTAGCTTCTCTTGGTTGGCAGGCCTTGCACACTGACATTACCTTTACAGTTCTATCTTTGGCTTTCTTCCCTTTTCACATTATTCTGAGTGAAAGCAGTCATGAACTCTGGCCTAAACAGGTATATCTAAGAGCCAAAAAGAAAGCCATACTCAACATGAAACTGGATCTCACTTTTTCCTCAGATTTGCTCCTCCCTCCAGCAGTTCCTACATCTATGCAGGCCTCTATGCTAGAAATCTGAGAGTCATTCAGATTCCTCCCTCTTCCTTGCATACCACGTATTATGAGTTATTGCCTAAAAATCTGATCTCACTCTTACTTTCCACTTTCATTACCATAATTCTTGAACACAGAATCCTTTTCTGAAGTTCTAATCATCTTTTGCTTGAACTATAACGTCTTTCAGCCATCTCTAATCGCTAATCTGAAGACATTTCAATTAGAGTAGGAAGCTAATTCTCTGGGATAGCATGCAAATCTCATCAATCCCAGTTGCAGCACAACTCAACTCTGCTCCCATAGTTCTCTTCTCCACACTTCCTCCACCTCGCTGTGCTGAGTCCTGGCAGCAGAGGCGCCCAGTGGATCATGTTGGTTTAGATCTGAATTGCTCATGTTACTACTGCTCCCACAATAACTTCTAGCTGTTTAAATAAAATCTGTTTATTTTTATGCACTCACCATAAAGACCACCTTTTTTCAAAGATTTTCCCATCATTCCCAATGGCCACTTCCTTTTCACACAGCACTTACAGTACTATGATTAGTTTTTATTGTTTGCATAGCTTCTCTTTAAAAGACTCTAGTATCTTGATGCCATGGACACTATCTTACTGCTTTTAAATTTCAAGAGCTTTACACTGTGCTTCGTTTGTAACGTGATCATAAGACTTGGTTTGTGCCAGTTAACCTGCCTTAATTACTAGCTACACTATCTTTTACAAGTGTTTACTTGTCATATAAATTACATGTTATCTTCCATGCTTCACAAACGTTTGAAAGAATGAATTAAAGGTTGAGGATGTAGTTCAGTGGTAGAGCCCTTGCCTACATGAAGCCGAGTTTAATTCCCACTACTGAAAGAAAAAAAAAAAAGTCCTTAATTAGTCCTAGGATGTGAGTACTTATTATTGTACTATACACATATATTACAGAGCTGGGCGAGGTGGCAGACACCTGTAATCTGAAGACTGAAGGAGGAGGGTCTCAATTTTGAAACATAATCTAAAAAAAAAAAAAAAAAAGGGACTGAGGAAGTAGCTAGTTGTAGAGCGCACCTAATTTCTTTCAAAGTTAGAAGAGCTAATGAAAACCAGTAAGCCCCGCAGTGGAGGCTGAGATGCAACAACAAAACTTTCGAAATTAGCACCTGATCCCAGCTCACTAGTCAGCTAGATTTAATTGTGGATCGCGTCAACCAGCAGAAATCAGTTTTGCTTTGCCCAAAAGAAAAATGGTCTCCATCGGCGTCAACGCCCTTTTCGCTGCGGACCAATCCGTCTCTACGATTGAGGACATGGGCATTCTCACTTCCGTTTGCTCTTTCGGGACCTCTTAAGTTCTGTCAGTGAGTCGCCACTGTCCGCTTCCCGCTCGGGCAGTTTTCGTAGCCAGGGCGGTGAGGCTGGAGGAGACAGGGAGAATGAGCGCTGCGCGGACGCTGCGGGTGCCGGGCCGCCACGGCTACGCAGCTGAGTTCTCCCCGTACCTGCCTGGTCGCCTGGCCTGCGCAGCCGCGCAGCACTACGGCATCGCGGGTGAGGCCGGGTCGCGCTGCCTGGGCCGGGGATCGCGGGAATGCGCCGCCGAGTGGGCGGGGTGGCCTGGTGGGCGGGACCTCCGGGTGGGCGTGGCCTCCGGCGGATGCCGGGGGGCGGTGCTGGAAGCTGCTCCAGCGCTCACCTCTGTTACGCAGCTGGGAGATCCCGGCCGAAAACAGGGCTTGATTTTTTAGTGTGGAAGAGGCGGAGTACCGAGGTCCTTGTTCCTGAAGACCGAACCATCTCGGGTGTGGACACACACACACACGGGTACACGCCCCGTGCAGATAGCGGGGTGAACCTACGCTGCCCAGCTACTGGCCGGACGAGCAGATCGCGCCAGCAGGCCGCCGGTGATCTGCAGGGGCTGCTTGGCATTGCCTCGCAGTTTGCATTCGAGCCCAGAACAGAACTGTGCGGTTTCCCGCCCAGTGTCCTCATGAAACATTACCAACTTACGCCCTCCCCTTTAGTCTTAGGAGGAATGTATGCATTTGAGAGCAGTTATTTTTGAGAATTTGTTAATACTATACGTTTGCAATGTATCATAAATACATTCATCATGAGACTGGCCGTGCACACATATTCCATTGAAAGCAGTTAAATTGAAGCTAATTATGTCTGGTAGTGGACTAGATGGAAAGACGTGGCCCATTCTGGATTTTGTTTCCTTTTAATTCACAATTCAAGTCCCAGCTATTGTTTGCACACTGGAGCAGTGCAGCGAGTCATTGCATAAAGTCAGCGATTCATGGTTTTGTCTTAAGTCCTACAGTAGGAAAAAAATGTGATTTCTAAAAGTCAGAGGGAAATAATGCGTTTTATTTTTTTATTTTTTGGCGGAACCGGGGATTGAACTCAGACCCTCGAGCTTGCTAGGCATGCGCTTATTCTACTGAGCTATTTACCCGGCCCCAATAGTGCGTTTTACCATCACCATTAATTTAGTGGTGGTGCATTCATATTTACAATCTTTGCCCACCAGTTAGATCGAAAACTCATAAATCTGTAACATTTTTTTCAAAAACACCTTAAAAGGAGTTAATATTTGAAACATGAACTAGTTGTGTTTAAGTAGCGCCTCCTTTGATCTCTTTAAGGATAAATATATCTTTTAAAGGACATCAATAGTATAATAAAATAATTCAATTTAGACAAGATATTAATATGGTTTTCAGCACTTTATCGCCAAGTATTTGGTAGTTCTACATTTATACTTTGTTTCAAAATCCCATGTTGGATGTATTTTCCACGTATTGCCAAAGCAGAGTGATTTAGTAGAAGGATCTCAGTCCGGAGGTCTGTAAGCCTGAGATTTGTCATCTGTCAGTAGGAATGGTAACACCAGCTTGGCAGGTTCTCCTGCCTGGCACCATGATGGTCAGACAGGCACATGGGCATCTCTCCTCTCTGTTAGAGCTGTGTCAGAACTGGACTCAGCTTTGATTCCAGTCAGAGGTGGCGCTTAATGCTTGAAGCACAGTATGAAAAACAGCACAGTTCTGGCCTTCTGGTATACATGATCCTGGGAACCTGAGGGGGAAATTTGTGGTAGTAAAATCAGGGACTCAGAGCTTGACACTATACTTCTCTGGTCTTAGATGTCCCTGTCTTACCTCCTTACGAAGGCAAAATACCAACAACCAAAGTTAAAATAGGAAAGGCTTATTTAGGCCACAGTGTGTAGAGATTTCAATCCATAATTGGCTGACGCCTAGGTAGAGTGGACATGTGTCACAGAGCAGAAACAGTTTATGGTGGGCAGAAGGTGGCAAAACAAGCAAGGGACTAAACAAGCCTCTCTCTGTCCCTTGTATTCTATCCAGACTATCGGGATTAGGGCAGTGCCAAAACATTAACAGGCTGATTTAGTAATCACCCACTCTTAATCTTAGTACCTTTAATCCTAGCATTGCACCATGAATCAGTCATACACTAGATTTTGAAAAATCCCTGCCCTGACTGCATGAAGCTTTGTGTGTGTGTGTGTGTGTGTGTGTGTGTGTGTGTGTGTGTATGGGGAGCATCTAGACACAAGCCATAGGGATTCCCCCTGGCAGGTCCAACAGCGTGACCTTGATTTTTTTTTCCTCTTTAGGCTGCGGAACCCTACTAATACTGGATCAAAATGAAACTGGTCTTACAATTTTTAGAAGGTAAGGTACCTTTAATTATTAAACTTACGTATATTTTCTATTGCTATGAAAGCCTTCACAGAATTAAGCTTTGAATCTTTTTGGTCAACAAAATGTTTCAATATGAAATGTAAAAAGAACTTCAGCATTTGCATAGTAGGAAAAATTTTTTGCCATCATGTTATGATTATACTGCATTTCCTCTAAAGCTTACTTTTTAATGTCCATTTATAAATTATAAGACTTAAACTTAAAAGTGATTCAATTAAGCATACTGTGTCACAGTGCCTACTCTTGCTGAGTTAATATAGTTTAGCTTTACTCATGCAGGATCTAAGTACCCATCTCATGAGCTGTCCAGCACCTCTCCTTTCTTTCCATGCGCATCTTTTCTGGATGACTGGCTGGTGTACACATTAATATTTCCATATTAATGGTTAGTTAAAGGTTGACAAAAGAAAGTATATTCTGTCAGAAGAAAATATCTACTCATGGCTCAGGTGAAAGATTTATGGGACAAGTTTTATATAGCTCAGATGAAAGACTTTTGGAAAAAAAAATTGGAATTAGTCTAAATTAGTATTTTGAAGTACTTACTGACCTGTTGAATGAGTCACAGAAAACAATAAGCTTTTAGGTATGGCAGCATGCCCTAATGTTAATAGCCCCATATTAGTAGTTGCGAGATCTCCTTTTAATCCAGCTTTGCAGTTTCTTGCCTGTATCACCTGGGTTATTCTTCTAGCCTTTCTGTTTCTGTAAAGGACTATTTATCTCCCATAGTTGTGAAGACTGTATAAGACAGTGTAGGTCAACATATGTAGTAAACTAAAAAAATCCATAATAGTAACATTGTGATTGCCTTTTGTTTTTTCTGAAATGGTTCTGGCGCAGCCTCGACTGGAATGATGGCCTGTTTGATGTGACCTGGAGTGAGAACAATGAACATGTCCTCATCACCTGCAGTGGTGATGGCTCACTGCAGCTCTGGGACACCGCCAAACCCACAGGGCCACTGCAGGTCTATAAAGAACATGCTCAGGAGGTATGGAGAGTGTCTCTTAGAGCGCACAGATGGTTTAGTTATTTATTAACTTTTGGTTGAAATCCATTTGGGGATGAACCTAGGAGAGCTGTTTTCAGGGGACAAGTTTAAATTTTAATGAATCTTACATATGTTAGATGTCAGTTATAATTTGATTATTTAAGCACAAAGTAGCTCTTGGCTTAAGTTGCTGGGAAAGAAGGGAAAAGGTCAGGCTACTCATTTAGTAGTAAAAAGGCTCCAGTAGTCTACTGTGGCATCATTTCTTCCAGAGAGAGACATCGCCTTCCTCATGCCACCGAACATTCCTGCCATGCAGTGCCTTAAGGTAGAGGTAGGAGGACTTTCCACAAAGACGTCATAAGATTGTCCTTGGGCTTCAGCCAGAGTCCTGAGGCTTTTAGGATATATTTGAGCATTAGCATCAAGTAATGAATATGAGACAGAGCATACTAAAGAAAAATCTGAATCTGGATTTTGTGTCTGTGTATGAATAGTCTAAGACATGGGCTTTAATCATACTAAAATACATACACATTTTCAATGAATATGATGGTGCAGATATTCTCTTATGATGTTTTACCTTAAGTTTCAAAAATATTTTCTCAAAGTATCAGTAGATCTTTCAAGTGAATACTTATAAATTTACTTCCAAAATTGTATCTACCACAGTGACTATTCCACAGTATGCCATCAGGAAATTCTTATTAGATATAAAAATACCATCTTTTTTGATAAAAGTTTGGTTTTGTGAGGGTATTTGGTAGTGTCATATTTATGGCTATAAAAATCAACATATCTAAGATTAGAACTGAAAGTAATGAAAAATTTTACTTAGTCTGTTATGTTGTGAAGGCCATTTGAATAAATGTTATAAATTACTGTATTTTCAGAAAATCACTGAGTACTAAGACAACTTTGATAAAGGAAAAACTTCAATTTCAGGATGTCAAAAAGAAAAAAATCTCTTTAGAGCAACATGCCCAAAATTCATTTTTGATACTTTTATGACTTTTACCATCTTCTTATACCTATATATTATAAATACTTTATTGTTTTGGTTTTCTTTATTTTTGAAATATTTTTCCTTGAAGAAGTTACTTTTCTTAATTTTTTACTGCTTTTTATTTTTTTTGCGGTACTGGGGATTGAACTCAGGACCTTGTGCTTGCCAGGCAAGTGCTTATTCTACTGAGTTATCTTCCCGGCCTAATGCTTTTTATTATCTAATTTATTTATTAGTTCTAGGATGGTAACTATTGCAGGTTTTTTTTTTAAAATTGTATTTGGCACAGGGTCTCACCACACAGCTCAGACTCCTAGTGATCCTCCTGTTTCCAGCATCTCTGGCACTGGGATTACAGGCATGCACCACAATGCTTGGTCTCAGTGGCCAGCTCAGCACGCCTGAGGACAGGGCCAACATGGCCTGTGGCACCAGGGATCAAACCCCACGGCCTACACTTGCCTAAGCAGGCGCTTAGTCTGCTGAGCTGTCTCACTGGCCCTTAGGATGGTAACTAATATCTAGTTACATTAAACCTGTTTTTAAGTGTAAATTTGTCCTTTGTTCTAAAACAATAATATTCGTGAAACCCTAGGGTTGATAACTAGTTGATGTTTATTTGTTAGTATATTTATATTAAGATAAATATATAATGAATAAAATCATTGTGTGCAGTAGTTCAAATAATTTCTTGTACAACCAGTGGTATGCATATACTCTCTGGGAAATACTGTTCTAGAGTGTTCCTGATGGATAACTCAGACATTACTTTATCTCAGTGCAAATGAATTTCCCTATTTCAGGAGATCATGTGACTTTGATTGCTCTGTTGGTTGAAAAGTTGCTTATCTTACAGCCGAATCTACTCCCTATAGCAGCGAGCTGTTGCTTCTCTTTCTCTGAAGTGTGAGACTAAGACCAGTCTCCTTTTCCAGGAGAAACTTTGAATATAGCCATTATGCTCCATTTCTGCCCTCTGCCAAAATGTGCAGTTGTCATTTCTTCAGTCTGTCCTCAGATTGCATCATCTGTGCATCTTTTATTCTTTCAGTAATCCTCCTTTTGTACTCTCCTGTTTTTCAGTGTTACTTTTAATCTTTGAACCTCTGGCCATAGTCACATTCCCTGAAATGGCTGTGTACATCTCTCTCTCCACCATGTCATAGTGGTGGGTTCCTTTGATTGTATTGTACTGGTACAGCATCTAGGTCCTTGTTATTGGACCTGCTGTGCATAATTGTGAAACTGGCTTTTTTTAAAAATTAATTTTATTAAGAAACAAATAGCAATGAGACAGTTTCAAAACTGGTTAGTAGGACAGTTTCAATAATTAATACATTGCATATTGTTGTCTTCTTAGTGGTTCTTCATAGTATAAGATGCAGACATGATATCCTGTCCAAACACTATTAGTACAAATCTTTCTTATTGAATTAAGAGAAAGTAGCTGTATACCTATCCTATTTTGTATATACAGATACAAAATGATCCTTCATTTGTATCCCCTTTTTTGTTTAGTTTTGTCAGAGATGAGTATTCTATTGCCATTTAAATATAGTAGGTGCATGAATTCAGCAAAATAATCCAATATAGTCCAGTAGTCCATAATAGTCGTGGGTGATCCGTAGGACTGGCAATGTCAGAAGTTGTTGACTTGAGCCTTTTACAGCTCAACATATTAATATGGCTTTACTTTTCATACCTCATTTTTATACTTTTCTGCTGAATGGTTAAGACCAGGATGTAGCAAGACCTATATAACAAGAAATGTAACTTTTGTATCTGCCAAGGTCAGTCAAATCCCCTCAGGATTTACCCTGAAACTCTGTAGTGCAGTTTGCAGATCCTTTGTCAGTGTCAGCCATGTGAATGAGTCATGACTGTTGCTTGGCCAATTTACTCTCTGTGAAAACCTGAGAGAATGTTTTCTCTCCATGTGACTCTCCTTAGGCACACTCTACATCATTGATCACTTTCCTCTGTGGCCCCATAATCTCCTTGATCAGTAAATTAGGGACACAGCTGAGTTATAGGATGTTACAGTACAGGTTCTCCTATGTCTTGAGTTCTCACTGATCTTGAAAGGCTAGGGCCAAAATGTTGGCTGACCTTGCAGCCCTTCTTTTTCTCTAATTTTTGGTTTGCAAACTTAAGTTGTTAACCCTCCAGAAGAGAAGCTTAGTGATATTATTACCCTGTAATAATAGGCAGTTGAGCTTAACCTATCTGTCTGAATATCAAACATCTTAGACATAACACGGAACAGGTATTTTCCATCAAGTATTGATATGTTAAACTTTAAATCTGTACAGAATGTGAAGGAAAAAACTAAAAAAATTTAAAAAATAGGAATAAACAATTACATATTTTTACGCAACTTTAGAAATCTAGCCATATACAGCATTGTAGCAGGACAGTCCTATGACGTTTTTTTCTTGTCTTTTGTTTTCATTTATTAACATTTTCTTTTAAACAAACATTTACTTGAGAGACAGTATGGCAGTAATTGGTATGACATGACAAGCAGTACACATTTAGAAGACCAGAATGACAGGCATTCCAAGCAAGACCCTAGTATTACACATTGCTATCATAAGTGCAGTTGCTTAGTTCACAGGTATCAGCATATATAGTTAGGGTGAGAATCCTACCAATTAACTGCTAGTCTCAAATACCCACTGAAGATTCTCAGGATCATTGCCTTAACTATCTTGTGCATATAAATATATGACTTTGCCCCTGTCATGTTTCCTAGCTTTTCTCCTTGCCTTCTCTTTGTTGTTTAATCCTTAAGTTCTTGCTTTCCTTTTAACTGTATTATACCTTTCTATTTTTATTTCTTCTTTTGAGTTCTTACACTAGGGAGACTATATGATATTTACACATGTGGGTCTGGTTTATTTCACTTATGAGTATACCTTCAAGTGACATATAAAGGCTTCGACTTTATCATTCTTTATAGCTGAGTAATTCTTCATTGTATAAAAATGCCACATCTTTTTCATCCATTCCTCAGGTGATAGGCACCTTGGTTGTGAAACTGGTTTTTTAATACTGAAGACCTACTTGGTCTTGTGTGTGTTTTGTAGACTATTACTCTAGATTGTTCTTCCTCATTTTGTTTTCAAATGATTCTTTGGCTCTTAATGTAATAAAAAACCCAACTAAAAGTGTCTTCAATGATTAGATTCTATTATTTTGTAATTACTGTTATTAGTGTTTAATTTACATGGCTATGCAAAATAATAAACGAAGACAAGTTTTTTAGGTATTCCTCTTATCATCTCCACTTCTATATGTGTGTGTGTGTGTGTGTGTGTGTATATATATATATATATATATATTTTTTTTTTTTTTTTTTTGGTATTTTAGGGAACTATCTACAGGGTGTTCAGGGTCTCACGACTAGGTCAGACTGTGATCTGCTTGTTTACACCCTCCCAAGAACTGGGATTACAGGCATGCACCACCATGCCCAGTCTCAGTTGCTGTCTCAGTGCACTGTGGGGCGGAGTGGCACGGCAGGCCCAGGGATTGAACCCCCAGCCCCTGCGCCTGCTTGTAGGTGCTTTAATCCACTGAGCTATTTGGCCGGCCTTCAATATTTGTTGATATATTAATAAATGAATGAGCATAAAGTTTCTATTTTTCATCAGTATACAGGGAAACTACTTTATAAAATAGAGTCGTGGAGCCATTTCCTCCTGTGGAAGAGTGTATATTAAGGGTGAACAATAGTCTCAGTCAACCTTGAGTTTGGGTCCTAGCCCTGTAACTTACCTGCTGAGGGACCATGAGTGAGTTACTTATCTTTTCAGAACCTCAGTTTTCCTCATTTGGAAACTGAGCATAGTAGTAAGTAGAGCAGTCCTTTGTGTCAGAGGGGCATAGTGAGTGCTTGGACGAGAGCCAGCACTGAATAAATTTGAGCTATTATTGTTTATTGTTGTAATGGAGTTAGAAGTTCTTAAAACGCATTTTTCATTTATCCAGT